AAAAAAAAAAAAAAAAACAGACGCACTTCACGTTAAGTGTGCACAGAAATACCTGAAACACGTTAAACTCTGAACATCGAATCACGAATCCCAGTTACGTACCTCACAGTGAGCACAGTAGTGGGAGCCTTCATTGTGTGTCTTTCCATGCCACATCACTTCAATCCCAGAACGCTTTAGTTTCTCCACGGTAACCTGGCAGTACTTGAGCGACCTGGCCAGCACCACTCTGCAAACACATTTAACAAGATTACCAAACCTCAGCACTCGGGTTAGCTTTTATTATTTCATTTGGCTTAGCGTTTGCTGAGGTCTAAACATGTCAACCAATCAGAGGTAACATCCTGTTTTTTCAACCAATCAGGTTGAAACCCAAAACTGATGGCGACTTAGCGCACATGAATTTTCCCGATTTTGACGCGGGTTGCATGATTTTGTTTCGAGTTCTAATTGGTTTATTGCATGACTGTTGTTTGTTGCGATTGGACAGATATGATTAGAGCGGTTTTCAATTTAGTGTCGAAAAACCAAAACCAAACCAGTTACTTACCAATTAGACTACTCGGCTAGTCTCACACCGTAGTAAAACCAAGACCAAAACCAAAGTAATTGCCTGATTTACGTTCGACACTCAATTGAAAACCGCTCAAACTCACTTTGGTTTTAGTTTTTATGACATTACATGTAGACTAGGTCTCAAATAACTATAACCTGTTGGTATAGTTTGTAATGACTAACATAACATCTTCTCAAACACAAACTTACCGGATATGTTCGAAAAGTTTTCTTTCTGTGATTTTGACATTTCTTGCCAGGTTCCATGACAGGTGTAGCATTGCAACGATGGACTTTTCACCTAAATATATCAACATACAGAGAATTACGTAAGTACCTCTATGGGGACGCATTTGTCTAGCAAAAAGACAAAGTACTTGAAGAAAAAAGGGTTTTTGCGAGATTTTGTTCCGCGAGGGCCTAAACGAGTTAAAAACTGAATTCAGTTTGCAAGAAAAAAATGAAAGCAGGGAAAGAAACGGAACAAGGTAAACTTAATACTCTTTTGTACGTAACAGAGGCTCTTTATCTAGTAAGCTAACTTTCCAATCCAGGGGGCAAAAAGTTAGAACAATAACAAACGCAGTAAGAGTCAACTGTAAATTATGGACAAGGACCTCTGACATCAATGTTGACAAACATAAAGAATTTACAGCTGTTGCGCTTAAAAACAGTAGGTAACATTGAAACTACTGCACATGAAATATGAACTTAAAATTCTTGCCTTGTAGTTTGTTCCACTCATATCTGTCAATGGCAGCATTGTACATACTCTCTGCAATAGCCAAAAAAAAAGTTTTGAAACTACAGTCTGCTTAGCGGATACAGTTGGATGGACGAAATACATTTTTCAAGCACTCAACTTTAACTACTTATTGACCGAGAGTGGGGTCTTTACGGGAAAAGCTCCAAACGAGACCTTGCCGTATTGACCTCGTTACGACAAGACCAAGGTCTGAGATTTTCGCATAAAGACCGAACGTTCGAGGTTAATAAGTTGTTTATTATAAGGCTTTTTGCTTTGTTTTTGCAGACCCTTTATGGGCCCGTGGGCTTTACAGGAGAATAACGCCCTAGAATAAGCCAACCAGAGCGCTCGTTATATTGGTTACAAACACAAACCATATAAGAAAGTGTTAAAACAACTTCACCACAATGACATCTAACTTTAACCTTAGTTAATAGAGAGAAATGGTTAAGAAGCCCAGTAAACAACAAAAAAGCAAATAAAACGGCTAAGATTTACGTTGACAGGTCCTTGACCCTGCACATATTTTGCTTTTTGCTCATTGACTATGCATGAATTACATAAGTGCGATGTAGTCTATTGGTTAGTTGTATGAGCACACATAACTACCTTTGGTATTTTGCCAGGTTTTGTGCAGGGTCAACGCCCAAAATAGCCAACAAGAACATACAAAATAAGTCTTTGCCAGGTTTCATAACTTACCCATTAGCGGTCCTACATTCCACGCAATGTTGTTACACCAACCCTATAAAATGGAGCGGCAATATTAGAACTGCTGGCCAGTCTGATGAAGCAATCACGGTTTGCAAAGTAAAATTCTTATCACTTTGCCTATCACTTCATAACAGTTTAAGATGTTATTATAAAGATTAAAGCCTAGCTCCATTGCTTACCGATGACTGTACCCAGTGAACAACTCCAGGACTGAGCCAGACTAGGTCACCAGGCCTCTGGATAAATCTGTACACTGGAACACGTTCCTCATAAAGCTCCTCTAAAATGGGCCACCACGAGCCTGGACAGGAAAATAAGGAATAATATAGCAACATTGAAGAACAGGGAAATTTATTGCCTATTCCAAGGTATACGTTATTTGAATATTCATCATACATGTACCTACAGCCTTTTTCTAGTGTCGCTTTTACTGAAGAACATATCAAGGGAATACGGGACAAAGAGAGGTGGGAGGGAGGATTTTTTCGTGGTGGTGGNGGGGGGGGGTCAGAGGAGAGAAAAGGGTGTTGGAGGGAGTATGGGTCTAAGGAACAGAAAGCCAGGGATGAAAGGGAGACAAACGGAGAGTATAAAGGAAATGAGATAGGGATAGAAGACAGAGAGGAGTACAAAGGGAAACGGTGGCAGAGAGGAGGTGATTAACAAAACCTAACAAAGGTTCTTTACCTGTTAGAAAGTTCACGTTGTTCCTGCAACGTTGAATAGCATGAAACAAACAAATAAGTTACATAGAATACGAAGATCTGTCAACAAAACTGGCTTTTGACCAAGTAGCAAAAAGCCATAATACCATTTAACAGCATACTGCTGCTTTGTAACACAATCAAGCAGGATTGAGGTCACTGACCGTAAAAACAATTGGTCGCAATCAGCATTTCTCAAGGCTTTCTACATCAAGAACTTAAAGCCTAGTATTACTGAGGGGATCAAAGCATCTAGAGAGTTAGATCTTTTTCTTTGATTTGTTTCAGTTATTATTATGTCAATGCTTGTGTATGCGCCTAATTAGCCTTGATGTATAAGCTTTTCGAGTTGTTTTGACCTAACTACATGACTATGACTGTGAAATAGAGCCAAAATATTGCAACAACCTTTCTACATTGTAATAAACCAAAACTTGGTTTTCAACGATGTTAACAATCCTCGGACTAATCTCGCTTATGTTACAAGCACGATTTATAACGTTGAAATTTGCGCCTTTCTGACATGTCAGAAACAGATTTTTTTAAACAGGACAGTAGCCGAGTAAGCCTAGTACTCGTGTGTATGACACCATTACTTACTTTTCACACAGGTTGTGTAGGACTCCCCAGTATTCGGTAGGTGTCGCAAACCACTCTGAGTCTCCAGGACCAATGTTGATGTTTATAGCATAGAAGTTATTGTTTTCTTGATGACCTAAACAAAATGTTCATCAAGAAAATGAAAAGGTTCTTCCACCTAAAACACTTGACAAACAATCTGCTTTACTGCTGAAGTACATGTACTTACATGTAGCTTAGTGGCTAAAAGTGTCCAACACAACAAGAAACAACAAGAGACAAGAAAATGCATGGGCACTTTTTTCTCACATAATTCAGTGTTTAAATAATAAAAGTCAAATCCACACCTCTGTGTAAAAGATAGTTCACTTAGTCCCACAGAAGTACCAGACTTCATATATTCTCTTATTTTACGATACAGGACCCTTCATAATACAGACACTCACCTGAGTCTCATTAGTGTCCATATTAGAGAGGTTTGATTACATATCTCGAGCTTAAAGGGCCCTAGTCAGCCACAACTTTGTTTTTGTTTACATGCAAGAGTTTGGCTGTTATATTTCATTCAGAGCATGTCGAAATGAAGGAAATCACTGTAAAACTACTAATTAAAGATACTTTCACGAAAACAACTTGCATTAAAGCAATAAGATTTCGCTTCACCATGCAATATCAATAATTTTGATGAGATCTAAAATAGCGGAGGCTGATAAGGGTCCTTTAAAAAAAGATTTTGCTTCAATCTTTAGTTTCTCTGCAGCTACATGTAAAATTAATGGGGATCAATGTGTAATTTGCCACGCATGATTTCAACCTGATTGTACTGTAATCTCTCATCTGAATCTTGCACACAATATGCAGCTGTTTGTTCCTGGTTTTTGTTTCGTTTGTTTGTTTCTGTTTGTTACCTGGTGTCCGGCACCCTGGTATCTTCATGTACAACTGCACTGAATTCATTCCGAGAATTGTGTGACCAATATGACTCAACATGTTCGCTGGAGTTACAACCTGACAGACAATGCAAAGCATACATTACAATTAATAAACCTCCATGTTGGCACCAGAAATCTGAATCTCAGGGTTCTGCACTAACCTTAGCAAATGGTGGAAGTTTAGTGAGCTCTTGAAGCTGTGTTTTCCATCTGAATGAAAACAGCAAAACATTAATGAGTTTTAACACATAATACAATGATTTTAAATATGCTCATAACATTATAGACCTTTCCAGCCATACGGCAGCCACTAAGATTTTGAATTGTATTGTTTAAGTAACGAATTAGCATTTATTTGCCCCTAAGCATCCCGTAACAGCTTCATGTATGTGAAACCATAGAATTTAAAATGGCCGCTGTATCAGCAAAAACGTCCATTGTAAGGAAACTGTGAAACTGTTAAAAATGAAACTTACTTTCTTTCATCAGAGAGGTCAACATTAGTACCAAACTTGATCCATTTAAATTTCTTTCCTTTTCCTTTTTTACCACTGAAAAGTTTAACAAACAAAGAAAAATTAGTTTGAAAAATTAGTTTGCATAATTATTTCCCTACATGAAGTTTACAGTACCTTTATAAACCACAGCCCAAAAGGGATATCTCACATTAAGTATAAATATTAAGTCTGTGCTCCAGGAAACATCACAGCACAGTATATGAAAGCACAGCAGAAAGATATCAACACCTACTTTTTTGAGCTTGAAGAGGAATCACTGTCTGAATGCGATGGCTCTTTAATGCCTGACAGTCTTTCCTGCTCTTCCTAACGCACACAAACAGAAATGAAATATTACAGGTCTGCTTATTACAGTATACAGTATACTAAATGGACTAGTAAAAGGCAGAAGATGAGCAAAGCAGACCTTGGAATGTTTGTACGATAGAGAGGAAAGTATTGACTGGGGTAACCACCACAGCAAAAACAACTAATTACACACTCTGTACATGCTAACTGCAACAACTTAACTNCCAGAGGATTGGAAGGGATGCTATGTTGGAAACTAAAAACTAGCCTATTTTGCTTGAAAAATAAAACATGTATATATCAAATACTATGACATCCATTTCTATCAACCAAATTTTATGGTACCTGAATGTACATGTATTTAATGATAACCAAAATTCATAGAAATCCAGACGAAATGGAAAGAAATTACCACACTGTAACAGATAAGGATTTCCTGTGTCATTTTAGGGGGCAAGAAAAAGCCATGTCTCATTGCCCAGGGCAAGTAAATTTTGCTCTTCGGCAAAATGAAATCAAGCTTACTTGATTCTAGACAGTACCTAGTAAATGATGTAGTTGAAAGGGCATGAACACTGTGCACCTATTGGGCAAGTAATATTTTAGTGACAGCAACTGAAAATTAAAATGTACTGGGCAACTGCAGGGTTTTAAAATTTTATTCCAGCCCTGATTTTACACTGATATACAAACCTAATCTAAGTGCTGCTGCTAAGCCTCTAATCACTAGAACTGGATTGGAGTTATTCATCACCATGTTTTGAAGTACTGGTGAGAATGCATCCTTCTTGTTCTCAACCTACATAAAAGTCAAAAGGGATATCATGAATTGGCGACTAAAGACAACACTTGAAAGATAACTGCAGTGCTGCACATATGTCACTGGCCTAAGATATGGAAATTAGTAGTTCCCAACATCAAGGATGCAAGAATGCTGCTCGAATATTTTTGAGACCAAATTAAAGTAATTGAATCCATTATAAAATCATTACAAAGATTAGTAGCTTGGCAAGTCTACATGGTTTCAGTAGCCTGGGTGGAGAAAGGCACGGTGAGAGTAAAAGTGTGACCACAATGACCCTGACTAGGGGCCTGTTTCTCGAAAGCACCAGAACGTTTTCGGGCTCGAAAAGCCAATTTTAGTTAATCGGTACTTAAAGACAGAGAGGTGTACATGCCTGAAACTTCTCATACAGAAAGGAACCTCTGTTTACACTACGAACATGTGAAAAGAAGAGCTCTGTAATCATAAGGTTTGAGATTTTGTTCTGTTCTGACTTTCTGGGCGCAAAAATGTTTTGGGACCTTCAAGAAACGGGCCCCTGGGCTTAATCCCAGACTACTCAATCTGGAGTCTAATGCACTGACTTACATGTAGTTTGTATTAGCTAGATCACCACTCCTTATAGTATTAGCGTCATAAAATTTTGATCCTGCCCAGTTAATAGGGAGTCCATCTGCATTTTCTCTAAAGTGTTTTCTAAGTGAGGCTGAAGCAGTACTTACATAAATAATTGGCGTCTGTGGCGACAACTTGTCTGTTGGAAGAGGTGGTGTTGGGGTGGGTGGTGGGTGCGGAATTGCATTCGGATCAAACAATAAGTTCAACTTGGGGACCGCCAAATTATCTCCTCCTGAACTAAGATTAAATGGTGACTTGGATGAGCCAGGCGAGACAACTGCAAGCTGTTTTGATGGAGACAAAAGGTCAGCTGGTATCAGAGTCGGCGAGAATGTTGATTGTCCTCCCTGTAGACCTGAACTTGGAGATAAACAGCCTGGGTTGATGATAGAAAGAGGTTGAGTTAAACTTGGCGACAGAGTTGAAGTTGTGTGAAAAGGTGATTTCTGTGTGGGAGACATGACGTAACTCGGAGAGGAGAATGGAGAAATGGTCATTCCACTTGCACATCCAGTGGAACTTGAAAATCCTGCATACGTTGAGATAGGGCCATTGCTCAAAGTGGGATCGCTATTCCCTGTTAATGGACTGGGCTTTATATCGGCAGAGCAATTTATTTCCCCCAATAGCGTTGTATCCATTCCACTGGGTAAGGAAGGTTCAGTCGTGCTTGAAGAACCTGTAGTCAGTGATTCACTAGAGAGAAGAGTTGTCCCTTGACTACTAACAACACTCTGACTAAGCAGTACATTAGACGAGGTTGAAACAAAGTTTGCCGGAAGTGATGACAGCATGGCTGTATCAGGCCCTGCTATAGAATTCTGATGGCTAGTCACTTGCATCATGTGATCTGCTGGTGCAATGGATGTTTCCATAGCAGACACAGATGAGTTACTATGAACATCTGTTAGAAGTGACTCTGATTGTGAAAATGGCCCAGTTACTGATTGTGTGATCAACATGGGAGCAACTGAATCAGAGGTTCCTTGTGTAGTGATACATGAGGTACTTGACTGTGCATCACTTTGTGCGGGCTTAGCAAACTGATTGTCTGAGCCTGTCGACACGACATTTTGACCATTGTATGATTGAGCTGTATCAGACCAGTTGTCTAGTGAACTTGGACCTGGAACAGAAGCCCGATTGAGCTGACTTGAACCAACATGTTCATGATTTTCTCCTTTCATACCCTGCAATGAAACATGGTTCGTCATATTCTTAGTTGGAATGGCGGCTGTATTTTCCAAGGAAATAGACACATTAACTTGTTCTGTGCTGCCTTGTTGCTGTTGATGTTGTGCTTGCTGTTGTTGTTGTAGATAAATTTGTTGCAGTTGTTGCTGTTGCAGTCCTTGTAATTGCCCACTGGTCAACAATTTTACCTACAAATAGAAAAAAAAATACAGAACTAAATAAGTGTTCATTCACTTTAAAGCTAAAGTACATTAATTTTTAGCTTACCACATCTAAGAAAACTGCAATGGAAAAATAACATGAAATAAAAGCCAAACTCAAATGTTGCCAATCAGTAGAAATGGTACATGGCTTCTTTTATGTGTGAGAGTTCATCATGGCAATGGGTTAGTCAATAGATGCCAACAATTTCCTTTCTTTTCTTTTCAGCTCATTGCCTAAACTTAAAACAAACTTGATATAATTTATTATATGTACATGTATGTATAGAAGTGCAAAGAAATTTGCATGTGTTTTCCATGAGTCAAGGATTGCCATTTTAAACCACATTTACACTGTACATGCAATAAACCAAAAGTAACAAGTAGTACATTTGCAAGAGATAATCTTTCACTAGAGTCCTAACCTGTGCATTCCTTATTGTTCTTGTTGTAAGCTCAGCAGGAATGGGTAGCTTCCAAGCTTCATCAACAGATGGAATATTCCTGATAGCAAAAAAAAACTCTAACTTACAGTGGTTTCGGAAAGCAAAATAAAATAAAGACTTTCAGCAGCATGCAAAGAACGTCATGTCTGACAGCCTAGGACTAGTGGATTTGACAGCCAGCCTAGTGGGTTCTGTCCTTTGCTTACTGAAAGCCAAATGATTTTTTTTTCTTGGGGAAATTTGGGGAAGACGAAGTCATTCCGATACCTAAGTGTACCGTACATTGTACCGTAACAGATTATGATAGTGACTTTTTTTT